AGGCGGTCTCTGATATAACTTGTAAAGCAACAAATTTAAATAACATATTTCCTGTGTGTGAGAACAATTACCATGGTCTAATTGACTAGATTCAGGAACATATCAATGCAGGTTAGAGCCAGCCCTGGTGACAACCAATCAGGACTAAGCTGACGACAGCCAGTAGAATGTTGGGCTGTAAGGGGAAAATTACATTAGAAACAGTTGGAAGTCAGATAGGGTTTGAATTCCAGACAGTGAGGGTCTGGTGGTGAAGGCTCCAGAGTGGAACAGGGTTAAGGTCTGGAAGAGAGGGGCCTAATATTGGTTAAGACAGGGGTAGGCAACCTTTTTGAGCCGGGGGCCGGGTTGCTGTCCCTCAGACAATTGGGGGGCCAAAGCATCAAAAATAAATAATTTTTTTAAAATAAAAAAATAAAAAAAATGCATGCACACTCTCTCAGCCCCAGAAAAGCCATGGCAAAACCCCTGTGGAGATTTTGCCAAGAAAACTCCAAGAACAAGTAATAACAACAATAATCAATATCATCATGGCGGGGGGCGGCAGCAGTGGCAGGACCAGCCTGGGGCCAGTCCAAAGGCCTTGGGGGGCCGCATCCAGCCCCCGGGCCTTAGGTTGCCTACCCCTGGGTTAAGAAATAGTGGTAAAGGTACCCAGAAAAAGGCTAAGAGTGCCCTGTGGGGGTAATTGAAAGTGCTCCAAGGAAAGAAGTGTCTTAGGGCCTGAACAGACTGCCAGAAATAATCCAGCTTTAACTGTCCTGGCTCAATGTTACAGAATTATGGGAACTGTAGTTCTTCTGAGACATTGAGCCTTCTCTGTCAGGGAGCTCTGGTGCCACAATAAACTACAGTTCCCATGATTCCCTAGCACTAAACCAGGCCAGTTAAAGTGGTCTCAAACTGGATTATTTCTGGTAGTCTCTTCAGGCCCTTAGAGTATTATTATTTGTAACTGTAACCAATCATAACAAGTGCAGCAAGATCAAGTGAAACATTGCTACTTGTATTGTAAATAAAGTTTTGTTGTTACTTTATGAAACGTTTGTCTACAGTATGAATGAATATCCACGTTACTAAACCTTATACAAGATAGATTATACCAAAGAGTTTGAGAAGAGAAGGTTGGTGAAGTAGTGGCTCTTTGCATAGGGTGGTGGCAGCTGTGGGATGAAAAGGGTCCATGGTGTGACCACAAATGAAAAAAAAAAAAGTGTGTGTCACACAAACCTATATACATACATAAATATTGGAAACAGACATTTACTAGCTAACACCCCAGAGGAGAGGATCAGAATTCAAAATGACCTTAACAGATTAGAGAGTTGGTTGAGAACTAATAAAATGAATTTCAATAGGGAGAAATACAAGGTACTATACTTAGAAAAAAATGAAATGTATAGATGGCAACAGTAGATATGAAGAGGATCTAGGAGTCCTAGTAGCGCACAAGCTGAACATGAGTCAACAATGTGATGCAGCAGTTAAAAAACCCAATGCAATTCTTGGATGGATCAAGTATAGTGTATAAGTATATAAGTATAGTGTCTGAATAGAGGGAAAGACCCCCCCGACATGTTGGGGAGGGGTTCTCCATTGCACCGGCCAAAAAAGGAGGCCGGACGCTTCATTGGCTGGGCGGTGGGAGAAGTCCCGCCCCTTCCTTCGCTGCTCAGCCAATCAGGGTTGGATCCTTCTAGGATCCTGTCTCGTTGGTGGTCTCGCTTATCGCGAGACTACCAATGAGAACAAGGGGCTATAAAGCCCCAAGGTTGCCTCGTGGCGGCAGCCATTTTAACTAGCAGACAAGGAAGGAGCTTGTCTGCTTCAGAGGCCTGTTGGGTGACAGGAGCTTGAGGCTTGGGTTGCGGCCTGGTTGGCCTTGAAGAGGCCTGTTGGAGAGCGAGGTGGCCAGTGGTCCGGCTGCCTGTGGGCGACCGAGAGCCTGGCGGCTTGGGTTGCAGCTCCATTTGGCCTTTTAGGAGGCCTGCTGGAGTGAGGTGTTGGCTGCTGGCACCCTTAGTAATTGGGCTACGTCTGGGAGGGAGCGCCCCGGTAAAAGAGGGCTCTGCTCCGACAGCGCCGGCCTGTGATATACAAGGGCCCACGATCATTCTCCTGGCTGGGAGGGGCCCGTTGGCCAAGCGAGGAAGCAGCCCAAGTGATGGGTTCTGCTCATTGGCTGCCGCCTTGGGGATGAAGGGGCCCTGATAGTTCTCCCGGGTGGAAGAGGCTATAGACAAAAGCCGATAAAGGCTAAAGTTTGAAGGCCCTAATTGTCACAGGAAGCCCTTAAATTGTTAAAAACAAACAAACAAACAAACAAACAAACGAGCTGAGTCAGTGTGGCGTAGTGGTTTAAGCATTAGACTATGACTCTGGAGACCAGGGTTCAAACCCGTGTTCAGCCATGTAAACCAACTGGGCAAGTCATAGGGCCTTTGCAGACTGCCAGTAATAGTGCAAATTGAGTCCACTTTAACTGCCTTGGCTCAGTGCTAGGGAATTATGGGAAATGTAGTTTTTAATAAAACAGTATAAGCAGGGGGCCTTTGGAGGCTTGGCCAGGTTGGGCAGCAATCTGCCTGGTATCCTGGGTGTGTGTGCTGTCCCATGAACCATAACAATAAATAGTAATATTATAATTACAATAATAATAATATTAATAATAATAAGCAGGAGGCCTTTGGAGGCTATAAACAAAAGCTGATAAAGGCTAAAGTTTGAGGGCCCTGATTGTTTCAGGGAGCCCTTAAATTGTTTAATTAAAAAAAATGACCAGAGTCAGTGTGGTGTAGTGGTTTGAGCATTGGTCTATGACTCTGGAGACTGGAGTTTGAACCTGGGTTTAGCCATATAAACAACTGGGTTATCTTGGGCAAGTCATAGGGCCTTTGCAGACTGCAAGAAATAGTGCAAATGGAGTCCACTTTAACTGCTCTGGCTCAGTGCTAGGGAATCATGGGAACTGTAGTTTTTATTAATACATAGTATAAGCTGGGGACCTTTGGAGGCTTGGCCAGGTTGGACAGCAATATGCATGGTATCCTGGATATCTGTGCTGTCCCATGAACCATAGCAATAAATAATAATATTATAATCACAACAACAACAACAACAACAACAATAATAAAACCCCACACACTCACACAGTCGCCACGCTTGACAAGGGGAGTTAGCTTGGCTTTTATGTCCCATAAAGGGAAGTTTTGGGCATTTTGGTGTCCAATGTAACTGGTAGGCCCTTTGGTTGGGTTTCTACCTGGTGATATTACACTAGCCAGCATATTCTGGCTGGGTTCTGGTGTCCCACAAAGGGAAGTGATCGGCCTTTGGCCATTAACCTTGTCCCTATTTTGGGAAAGGTTGCTTGTTGGGGGCCACGAGCACTTCACATGAATTTACACTCTGCCCAGTTACACTAATAATAATAATAATGATAATATTATTAATTTACACCGATTTATATGCATAAATACTTATGATATATATATATATATACATCATATATATATATATATATACACACACACACATTTATATATATGACATACCATTAAAAAAAGTGCTAATTAAAATTATTCTGTGACATTAATTGAATGAATAATATTACATTCTATAGGATAATTATAACAGAGGCATGCCGCGCAATAACCGCAGTTAAGCGGCATACAGCTTCAGCTGGACCCAATTCTGGGCATGCATAACCAAAGAGACCAAATGA